CATACATACATGTATACATGAGTCGATTTCTGAACGATTTTTCCTAAGGCCTAAGAATAATCGACCTATTTTCGCTCTGTTAGTGGGGCAATGGCACCGGCAGATTTTCATGGTTCCTCCCCATTTCGTTTATCGGGCATGTTGGAAGATTTGTGAAAAACGACCGATTTTCAAAATCATTGGTGGCCAGCGGTGTATTTACCATAAGGCAAACAAGGCATTTGCCTAGGGCAGCATCTTTTAGGAGGGGCAGCACTGCCCCTGGAAGAAGGGACACACACAGCGTGGGGACCTGGTGGGTTCCGAGAGAGGCTGCGGGTTACATGACAGTGGATGCACAACCCGACTCTCATTCCTGGGGATGTCCGGAGCTGTGAAGGTGAGTGTCTTTCTCTCTCTTGCCATGGGGGATGGTGGCCGGTGTATGGGGGGCAGTATTAGTGGAAGGCTCTCTCGGGTGGGAGGCAGGGGTGTTGTTGGTCAATGTCAGGCTCTCTCTGCGGGGGGCGCCGATTTTTGTATTGCCTAGGGCAGCACAAAACCCAAATACACCACTGTTGGTGGCACCATCGGATTACAGAAACAAACGTTTTCGATTTTTGATTGAAAAATCATTCTGAATTTGACCCATGTATGGCCTGCTTAAGACTTTCATTGGGGTGTATTCAGTTTTGCAACATGGTCTTGAATTAATTTGTTAGGAAAAATACTTTTTTGTGTGTGCAAATCTTGTTTGCAATCAATGGCCGGCATTTGTGGGAGGATTTTGTAGTATAGTGTCCCATAGAATATGTTGATTCTGACAGGAAAGGAAAGGTTTTCTGACAAATCTGTTCAGTGTACTCATTTATGCTGAGCACTGTTTGTGTATGTATATATATATATATATATATATATATATATATCAGGGGCGGACTGGCCATTTGGAAACTCGGGCACTGCCCGAGGGCCCGGGGTCAGTAGGGGGCCCCATTAGATGCCCCTGGTACCTTTTTCATAGGCTTTTTTGAGTTTGGGCAAGGACACAGGGGCCCCATGATCCCCTATTGCCCGGGGGCCCCATGAGTTGTCAGTCCGCCCCTGATATATATATATATATACACACTGACTATAAAAAAAAAACAAACTGAATTTATCGGACTTGAATTATTACTGTATATTACAATCCTTGGCAGGGCAGGTTTCGGATCGTTTTGGGCTGACCTCGGCATAGGCTGATGGAAAGCACTCTAATCGTATGGCATATGTATCGTTGTGACCTAAGGGGTTAACAATGACCGAATACCTAACAATAGTGCTTCTGCCTGGCCTTACGAAGGATGAAACTGTGACACGAGCTTCTAATTTGCCATAAGAGGCCTCAATAATATCAACAGCACCAGCTTTATTGACAAGCGTAGCGATCAATTGTACGACTCTCAGCCTATTGATTTATGCTCGAGTGGATTCCAGTTTGAAAGGTAGACTCCTCCTCCTATGTAATGATTTTGCAATTATCTGAAAGAATGACAAGTAATGTTTTCCAATATTTGTGTTTTGGGTGAGATGTAAAGAGCACCTGTCATTTTGCTGCACAGGGAAAGAGTAGAAAGGCAGGCAGGGACTTTTTCATTTGTGAAGGTTTTAGTTTGTTCAGAGAATGTAATAATTATATTCTATACAGCAGTGGTTGTCAACTTTATGAGGTATAGGGGGGCTCAACTGTGCCCTCCTGATATCAGCACAGGGCCACATATCATTTTCAGTATATGTGTTGCTAGAGAGGGTTTAATAGACTGCAGATATGTATAAGAAAATGATGGCAAGAGTTTGGGGACATACTACTGGATATGGTGGCCAGAGGCTTGGGACATTTTAGAGGAGATGATGGTCAGAGACTGGGGTCATACTAGAGGAAAGGATGGTTAGAGACTGATGGTCAGGACATACTAGAGGAGATGATGGTCAGAGACTGCTAATATGCTATGCTAGAGGAGATGATGGTCAGAGACTGCTGCTAATACTGCTAGAGGAGATGATGGTCAGAGACTGGGGCACTGGGCACATACTAGAGGAATAATGGTCAGAGACTGGGGACATACTAGAGGAGATGATGGTCAGAGACTGTGCGAAAACTAAAGGAATGATGGAACTTGTAGTCCTGCGGCTCTCAGGTTGCCTACCCCTGGCTTAGTGGAAGCACCGGTGTAGTATGTTATATTAATTCCCAAATAATAACAACTCCCCAGTCATTTTTATACATGTAATAATAACTCTCTCTATGTTATAACTCCCCTAGTTTTGAAGAAGCTAAATGACATAAAAGTTGAAAGTAAGAGCTGAAATTGATATGCCTTATCTGTTAATATATACGTAAGAGTGCTAACAGGTTTTAATTATTGACAGTTATCATTAATTAATTATTTGGAGGATCAATTCTTTAAAGCGCCGAATTCTTTAAAACGCCAAATTCCAAGTTATTAATGCAAAGAATAAACAGAGAAGGTGATTGACTAGCCCAAGTTCTTTATCGATGCAACAGCATGCAGGAAGTGAGGTTGCATTATATATGGAAGAGTGACGTATTGTACAAATTCTGTCGTGATATTCTCTGAAAGAGAAATAAAGTAAAAAATTAAAACCATGGAAGAAATCAAACAAAGCATTGGGAGACGTGCATATTCGCCTTATGAATTCCAGGATACAGTATATATGAATATTTGAGCAATCATATCTATCCATTCTTAGTCTCATTTGTTTAAAAATAAACATTTAATTCAAAAATTACATTTATTTTAGATAACTTACACCTTTTTCTGTTTGGGAGTTATTATTACATACAGAGAGTTATTACATATATAAAAATGACTGGGGAGTTATTATTTCATATATAAAAATAACTGGAGAGTTATTATAAGATATATAATAATGACTGGGGAGTTGTTTTCATTATTATACGGTACACCGGCCCTTACCTGTCTATCTGCATTCTTCTCTTCTCTACATCTATTCAAAGTGCATAATTTATAAAGCTTGTCTAAAAGTTCAGAAAAAGGGGGTGGAGAGCTACATTCTGCAGAGCTCAGTGGGGAGATCTGTGAGAGCTGATTGGAGGGAAGGGACACACCCCCCTCCACACAGCTCACAGGAACAGAGCTGAGGCTGTCAATCTGCAGGAGGTTCCTCCCCGTCACCATTTTTCTCTTGGTGTCAGGAAAACCTGTCAGAAATTATTAATGCTGATAGCAGAGGAACGAAGCAGCAGACAGTATTTACACTTAATGCTCTTAATTGAGACAAGTATACACTATAGAGGGGTATGCGTTGTTCAGATTTCATGTCCAAGGTTTACAACCACTTTAATGCAGGGAATGCAGTTTGGTAAAAATGTTAAGCCTTTACAACCGTTTGAAGGGCAATGGAGGAGTGAGCAGTGTGAAGGCAGTCCCGATGCAGGGGAGAACAACGACCTTTGGGCAAGGTTTTCTAACAATGAATTTGATCTACATAAACTCCCAAATGGTACTGCCATGTCCAGTCCATAGACACTGGACTGTGTCCTGTTCTGGTAAAAAAAGCCACATTTGGGTCATTTAAAGTAGAGTCCTGTGCAGGTTTGTCTCTCCTGACCAGGGGCACTGACCATTTCGAAACACTGTGTCAGCAGGGGGCCCCATGAGATGCCCCTGGTCATAGGCTTTTTGAGTTTGGGCAAGGCACAGGGGCCCCATGATCCCTTATTGCCTGGGGGCCCCATGAGTTCTCAGTCCGCCCCTGCTCCTGACCCATTCCAAACCAGTACCAAGGACCTCCAGTTCTATTAACAATCTGCTTTTGTACCTTCTTGTATCCATTACCACAAACCCTTAGGACTCATGTACACTGCAGCTGATAAACTCACATTTAGGAGCTGTTCAGCGTTTTTTTCAGCAGTTTGAACTCTCCCCAATGTTTTCCTATGTGTCCATGTACACATCTTCGTTTACAGTCGTTTACAGGCATTTGAGTTTACAGTTGTTTTTTTGAATGCAGAAAACTTGTGTTCAGCAGTCGATTTTATCAGCGTTTCAAATGTAAAATGCTTGTAAATGCGTCTAAATGCGGCACATCGCGTTTATAAGCGTTTGCGGTTAAAAATTTTTTGTTAACTCTTCCAGTTCCCGATGCTGTCCAGAGCCTTTTTTCATCATGAGAAAAGCATGCAAAGCGTTTTCAAGGTACTCAAATGGACAAAACACTGAACACAGGATATTCCTACCAAGCTTGTCACACATTGTAATGACCAATTCCCACCTCAGACCTCTCCCACCCTTGGAAACAAAAGATATGTTAATGACCATTGACACCTCAAATTCCTCATGAAGACCCCCTGCCAGGTGACCTTAATGACTCCCTCCACCAGACACCTTTCCCACCCTTGGAAACAAAAGAAATGTTAATGAGCAACTCACACCTAAGCTAATCTCAACACATACTGCTGTTTTCTGCTTCTACTCTCTGTATTTCTCTGAAACAGTCTGAAATAGTTCATAATTTACCACTTTTCAGTGCATTCTGGGCATGTGGGAGGTTGGCCTGTGCTTATCTTTTAAAAAACGCTTCTAAGTGCAAATGCGCATAAACGCGTTATGAAAACGCAGGTAAACCGACGTTTTTTAACCTACTCTAAAAAAATACCACCCCTAATATTGGTGATATTTAGCGGCGCATTATATATATATGTGTCACATTAATTCCTTTTGATGATCTCTATGTGCAAACACATTTACACAAATATTGTGACATAAATTATATGTGACAAAAAATATGAATTAAAAATCAAATAAATTATAATATAATAGTGCCCAAAAAACAGTACCTATCAGTGCCAGTCAGTGCCACCTATCAGTGCTGCCAGTCAGTGCCACCTATCAGTGCTGACAGTCAGTGCCTCCTATCAGTGCCAGTCAGAGCAGCCTATCTGTGCATCAGTGCCACCTAATAATGCCCATCAGTGCCGCCTAATAGTGCCAGTCAGTGCCGCCTATCAGTGCCAATCAGTACCGCCTATCAGTGCCACCTATCAGTGCCATATGTGAGTGCTGCCTCCCAGTGCCCATCAGTGATGCCTGTCAATGCCCATCAGTGCCACCTACTAGTGCCTCCTCATCAGTGCCCATCAATGCCACCTATCGGTGCCCATCAGTGCAGCCTATCAGTGCCCATCACTGCAGCCTCATTGCGCACATCAGTGAAGGAGAAAAATCACTTAATTACAAAATTTTATAACAAAAATTAAGAAAAAAAGTTTTTTTTTTTTTCTTTCTAAATTTTCAGTTGTTTTCGGTCTGTTTAGCAAAAAATAAAAAACCCAGAGGTGATTAAATACCATCAAAATAAAGCTCTGTCTAAAAAAAAAATGATAAAAATTGCGTATTGGTACAGTGTTGCATGACCGCGCAATTGTCATTCAAAGTGCGACAGCACTGAAAACTGAAAACTGGGCTGGAAGGGGGTATAAGTGCCCTGTAGGCTAGTGCTTAATATTGCTTTTGTTAGTTGTATTTTTATCTTTTAATTAGCTTTTCATTTTTAATTTACTTTTTGCTGGAGTTCAGTTTAAATGGATCTGGATTGCAGCTGGACCCTGGATTGGATTTGCAGGACTGCTCAAGTTCAGTTAAATTTGATGGTTTGTGGACAGAAGTCTTCAAGTCATTCCACAGATTTTCAATGGGGTTTAAGTCTGGTCTCTGACTAGGCCATGCAAGGACATTCACCATTTTCTCCTCCAACCGCTGTGTGCTCATTGTTGCTGTGTGCTTGGAGTCATTGTCATACTGGAAGGTACATTTTCTTCCCATTGACAACTTTCTGGCAGAGGGCAGCAGATATTTCTCAAGAATTGGACGGTATTTGGCCCCATCCACTTTTCTTTCCATCCTGACAAGTGCTCCAGTCCCTGCTGCAGATAACCCTCCATAACAGGATATTACCACCCCCCTCCATGCAGTACTGTAGGAATGGTGGGATTTGGATGGGGAGCTGGATTGGATTTCTGCCAAACATATTGTTTAGTGTTGAGGCCAAATCTTTCAATTTTAACCTCATCTGACCAGAACACCTTTCTGGCCTCAGAAACTTCAAGGTACGTTTTTGGCAAAGCTCAGTCATGACTGCATGTGGTCCTTCTTGAGGAGCGGCTTTTTTCTTGCAACCCTCCCATACACGCCACATTTGTGGAGGATTTGTGATATTGTTGTCACATGCACACAATGAGCACTCCGTCATAAATTCCTGCTGTAGGCCTGAATTGCTGTAGGCCTCTTGGTAGCCTCTCTGACCAATTTCCTTCTGGCTCTTTCAGTTCGGAGCGACGTCCTGATCCAGGGAGGGTCTGTGTTTTACAAAATACCTTCCACTTTTTAATAATAGACTTCACTCTGCTTCTAGGCATTGATAAAGCCGTTGAATATTTTTTGTATCTTTCTCCTGACTTGTACCTGTCCACAACTGTATCCCAGAAATCTTTTGACAGTGCCTTGCCAGCCACAGTTGATTGTTTGCTTCAGTTGCACTATCAGGGACTGAAATGCTCCAGGAAAGCTCTTTTGATGCCGATCTAATCAAAATTACCACAGCTGATCACAGCTGAAAGTCTGTTGGCTTTGTGTGTCATTGAGAAGGTGATTAGCTACACCTGATTGAGTTTTAAGTAATTTAAAAAGGAGGGTGATCCCTTTTCCAACTCAGTGATTCTGTCTTGAATTTTTTTTCTGACATGTTAGTGTTATATCTTTCACTTGGATGTCATAAGTTGCACTGAGTAAATATAGCTGGATAAAACAAAAACTGTGCCTGTCTTCATTTAAGGCTGCAAAGCAACAAAATGTGATTTTTGTTTTTTTACAAGGTGGTGATCCTTTTCTATACCCACTGTGTGTGTATATATACACCCTGTTCCAAATTATTATGCAAATGATATTTTTATTGAACAAACCTCCTAATGATAACAGGATTTTTGTTAAACATAAAACACTTACAATGACTGTTCCAAATTATTCCGCACAGTAAGTTTCAAAACACTTTATAGGTTGTAAAGAACTGAAAATTGTCATTTGTTGTGTTTGCAGCATATTTACTGAAATCAAAAGCTATTTCAATCAAACTTTTAACAACATTTTAACTTTGTAAACATTTGAACAGGTCACGTTACATTGTAACATAGGACCCCTTATCTGATAGCAGCGTCACAAGTCTGGCATCCATTGAACTTGTGAGTTTTTGGACAGTTTCTGCTTGAATTTGTTTGCAAGATGTCAGAATAGCCTCCCAGAGCTGCTGTTTGGATGTAAACTGCCTCCCACCCTCATAGATCTTTTGCTTGAGGATGCTCCAAAGGTTCTCAATAGGATTGAGGTCAGGGGAGGATGGAGGCCACACCATGACTTTCTCTCCTTTTATCCCCATAACATCCATTGATACAGAGGTATTCTTTGCAGCATGAGATGGTGCATTGTCATGCATGAAGATGATTTTATTACGGAAAGCATAGTTCTTCCTTCTGTACCAGGGAAGAAAGTGGTCAGTCATAAACTCCACATACTTTGCAGAGGTCATCTTTACACCTTCGGGGACCTTAAAGGGGCTGACCAGCTCTGTTCCCATGATTCTGGCCAAAAACATGACCACCACCGCCTTGCTGACGTTGCAGCCTTGTTGGAACAGGGTGGCCGTCCACCAACCATCCACTACTCTATCCATCTGGACCATCCAGGGTTGCATGTCACTCATCAGTGAACAGGACTGTTTGAAAATTAGTCTTCATGTATTTTTCTGCCCAATGCAGCCGTTTCTGCTTGTGAGCATTGGTTAGTGGTGGCTGAATAGAAGTTTTATGCACAGTTGCAAGACTCTGGAGGACTCTATGCCTTGATGTCCGTGGGACTCCAGAGGCACCAGCAGCTTCAAATATGTTTGCTGCTATGTAATGGTATTTTAGCAGCTGCTCTCTTGATCCGATGCATGGATCTGGCAGAAATCTTCCTCAATGTGCCTTTATCTGCACCAACCCGTCTGTGCTCTGAATCAGCCACAAATCTCTGAATAGTGCGATGATCACGCTTAAGTTTTCGTGAAATATCTAATGTTTTCTTACCTCGTCCAAGGCATCGAACTATTTCACTCTTTTCGGCAGCAGAGAGATCCTTTTTCTTCCCCATATTGCTTGAAAATGGTGCCCTGCTTAATAATGTGGAACGCCCTCCTTTAGTAGTTTTTCCTTAAATTGGGCTCACCGGCCAATCTAATTATCACAGGTGTCCGAGATTGTTTTCAGTGATCAAAAGAGCCCTGACACACAATGCCATCCATGAGTTACACTGAAAAATAAAATATTTAATCTTTGTGACACTTAAATAGAATTTGCATAATAATTTGGAACAGGGTGTATATATAGTATTATTGTTTCAATCGAGAGTCCAGCTTCAATCCAGCTCCATTTAAATGGAACCCCAGTAAAAAAATAAATTAAAAATGAAAAGCTAATTAAAAGATAAAACTAACAAAAACAATATTAAACAATTCACCATTCACCGTCAGGCGTTTTAATAATGTTGGTAATGTTAGCTGTGTAAAGTCACATTAAAAACATGAGTTTTTCAGCGTGTTTTAGCATTTTTGCATTAGGGTTTAGCCTCATTTTTGCGCATTTGCATTTTTTAGCGCTTTTTTTTTTACAAAATAAATTTATTTTTTGCTCAAAAAAAAGTCCAAAAACGCCAGTTTGCTGCGTTTAACCGTGTTTTGCCACGTTTTTCAGCATTAGAGCATTTTTAAAGCTAAGAAACTCCTCTAGAAACCCACTAGTTCTGTTTTTTTTTTTTTCTCCTAGCCAAAAAACGCCCCTGCCACAAAAACGCTGATTACAGTCTATGTGTGCATGGACACATAGGATAACATGCTGGGGAGTTTACTGGCTGTAGAAAAAAAAAAAGCCAAAAACAGCCGCTGTAAAACGTCCCGTGTGGATGAAGACTTACACTTACTAAGAGTTATAAGTTACACTGAGTAAATATAGCTGGATAAAACAAAAACTGTGCCTGTCTTCATTTAAGGCTGCAAAGCAACAAAATATGATTATTTTAAAAGGAGGGGGTGATCTTTTTCTATACCCACTACTATATATTTGCTGTGTATCTATACATACACGTCTGGACCAGAAGAACCACATCCCCAATAGTAACATAGGAACAAAACTACATCTATGGGCACTGTGACTTTTCAGATGCTATTATGATAGTTTGAATATACACATAGAGTACTGGGAACATTTTTTTTTTTTTTTGCAAAAGTTATAAAACACATGTAAAAGCAACGTTAGTGTTGAGTAGCCCCCTGGCGGTATTCCCGAGTGTAGCTCGGGGTAAAGTTTCAGTACCACAAGCGGTAATCCCGAGCTACACTCGGGAATACACTGCAGCGTTGCTCCGGGATCTGTTCTTCACTTACCTTGTACTGCGCTCCCGCGATGTCCCCCTGCAGTGTCCCCTGTAATATCCTCCAGCGGATGCCGGCATCTGTCATCTGGGTTCTGTTCCCTGCGACGTCGGGACGTACGGGGACGGAACGGCGGGAAATTTGAAAATGACAAAAAGTAACATTCAATAAATACACTAAAATCACATAGTATAACATTCCTGTATCAAACCATTTCACATACATTTTGTCCCGAGTGCTTTGTCCTGCGCCCTGCCTGCATTTTTACTGTTCTTTCTGCCTGGAAACTGAGAAACGTCCATGGCGTCCAAAAAGCGTCCCTTTAGGTCAAAATCGGGTTTAGACCGGCTAGAGAACAGCGATAGTAAATCAGAACCACTTGCAGAATTGAGTGATAATGATTCGTGGGGGAAATTCCTCATCAGACACTGAAAATGGTTTTGCGACTTTGCTCAGTGATGTGCGAACTTGGCGCTATATTTCAAATATCAGTGTTTTTGGTTTGATTATATTATTGAAATAAATGTATTATATTCTTATTTTTTATGATTATTTATTATATTATAATTTATGATTTCGTGTTTCAAATTGTAACATCCCCGGGATGTTTACTAGACTCTTGTTCGGACAGATTTCAGTGAGTTATTCCTAAAAATTACAGGCCTACAATAAAAAAAATACATATTTCCATGCAAAAAAAGTACCGCTTTGAGCACAGAAATATGGACATAATCAGACCGCTAGGGAGGTTAATATCATGGACAGAGAATTATACATTACCTACTACCACATGAATAGCACTTAATATACTGTATCACCCACC